TACCTGTTTATTAATGGCATCTGACCTACTTTTACCAGCTCTAAGGACTCAGACTTCCCCTTCCCGAAAATAGAAGGTGGCATGGGGAACAAAAACAGTCACTGTGGACAAACTAATGGGCATCAGTGTTTGCAGACATCCACAATTAAATTTCGGTGGTTCACTACATTTCTAATTAAGTACAATTAACATTTGTTCTTTACTTGTTAATTTTACATACCTCACTGATGTTCCAAACCTAGTTTCCCCTGATAATCTATCCAAGCCCATCCTAATGATTCTGCCTTTCCATCCTTTATTAATACACTGACATAAACAATGCAGAAATGCAATTAGACTGCTATGTACACATGGCCTGTTTCCTCTTTCACTGAAGCTGGTGGGAGTCTGGCTATGAACTTTCATGATGCATGATGTAGCTTCAGACTTTTTATATCTCTGCAGAGGTTTCAGTGAAAACATCGAGGTTTTGCCTCACTGTGATCCATGGCACACTCCTCTTCCTCCCTCTGCAGCGCTGGAGAGCTATTTATGCAGAAAGTAATTTACATGACCCTACCTTAACATTGTAGACTAGCCCCGGAAGGAGGTAATATTCCTTTCCTATCACTCTGTGTCAAATCAGTAGCAATTTCACTGAAGACAATGGATCCACACCAGAGCGTAACGAACTCTGTGATTTCCTGAGATGAGGTCTCTGGCAGCAACACCAGCAATACCCTGGTCTCTGCTGCCCATTTTTGTCCTCAGGTTCTGGCATCAACCCCTTCATTTCCAATACAGTCTATCTCACGGCTGCCTGTGGTCTTGCTGGCACAATGAAGGGAGTGGGAGCAAGTGAGAGGAAGCTGGAAGTGGAGGCAGAAATAATTTCAGGTGGCTTTATCACTGAGAAGAATTCATATCCTGACACTACAGCCTGGGGAGGAGAATCAGTGACTTTATATATGTACTTAACTTTATTTTCCAGTGACAGTTTTTGTAGATATCACTGCAATACTGGTGTATTTCTTTCTCTCTCTTTCTCTCTCTCTCACACACACAGAAAAAAATAAGAGCCCAAACCCTTCAGATTAACATCATGGCAGGGTTGCAAGTTATTAACCTGATGCTTAGTTTGAGGCTAAACATAACTGATAGTTCAAGGAGACAGAGAGGCAGTATTGCTGGGAGAGTTGAAACACCCGGGATAAAATGTCAGCGTTGCGTCTTCTGGCAGTTTCTGAAGGGCTGATCAGTCAAACCTTGGTCAGAGCATGATAGAGATATTTCTTGAACTGCCTGTGTGGAAATGTCCAGAAAGAGAAACTGCCCCCAAATGACACTGGGTGAGAGCTGAGGAAGCCAGTGGTGACACTGAACAATATCAATAGTCCATGTGTTTTTCTTGGCAATCTCTGCCAGACTACTTCAAGATAAACATGAATCTGGTGAAGAGATTCGAGTCAAGGAGCATTAATGCCAAGCAAGTTCCAGGCACGGAGACACTCAAAGGTCATGCTTTTTTGGGCAGGAGACCAGCCTTGTAGCAAACCCTCTTGCAGCTGCCCCTCCGTGCACCTGATCTGACACACTCCAAACTTCAGCGAAGATGAGGCCAGAAGGAACAGCTCCACTGTGGTAGCAGTGAGGCTGGGGAGGCTAATCGATATTCTGGGACAAAATTCTCCTCTGCTATAACCACTGAACAACTGTGGGCTGCCCAGTCAAGGAAAAACTACTGAAATAGCTGGTCAGCCACGGCAGGTCCCAGCTTGGAACATGGTTCATATCTGCTGCTTTTTCTGGGGTAAGCTAACACTGGAGAAGAAGTTCCTCAGAGAAAAATGATAGTCATTTAAGAAAGACTAATATTTAAGCTTTTTTTATTGTGTTTTATTTTTATTCTCATTTCATCTTCCACTTACTTTTGCCTGCTGTTTCTGAATTTTCTGGCTCTCAACAAGCTTTAAAATAAAACCTAGAACATTGCTTTTTGCCCCCGTTTTTTTTTTTTTTGTATGTTTCCTTGCTGAGCTGAACATCACAAGTTAATCTTTCTATTGATCAGTCCAGCTACCTAGAGAGTATATAAAAAAAGTTTTGTTTGAGCAGAGCAATTTTAATAGAAAATAAAGACTAGGGAATTTTAATTACATTTTTGATCTCTCTGCTTTCCAAAAAGACAAATTTGTTAAGCAATTTTACAGCATTTTTAAAAATTTGCTATGAAGAAACCAAGGAAGCTATTTGGCTGGCCTCCTATTATTGGCTTAAAAGATGTGGAGAGGAGAGTTATTATATTAGATAATATTAGATAATATTATGTATTATATTAATCTCAAAGTATTAATATAATATGCATTTTCTTTAAAAGCAATAGAATTCACTGAGATATTTTTAGATTTCTGAAACAGAAGTACTGTCTGGAACAGAAATTGAAAGAGACACCCAGAGTACTCTGGCTTTCAGTAATGGTTTCCATTAAAGAACCTATAGTCTATATTCCTTCAAAAATGAAAACATCTGATTTTCAACTTTGTGAATCATTACCTTCTTTTCAGTGATAGTACTCAAGTGATATAAAGTTAAGCACATATATAAATCTTTGAGCAAACAGAAGCATGCAGTGCAAGGTCTTTCCAGCAAGAGCATCTTTTTGTTCTGAGCATCTTCTTATTCTGAGTGTATGCAGTGTCCACTAGGACCCTGATACTTGATCAAGATCACTGCTGTAATACAATGAATCACGGCAAGCTGTGTGGAGTTATCGACTTAAGGCGAAAATGTTTACATCTGTGCACAGAAATAGGCACTGCCCACTGCTGATCACAAACAGAGCAAAGCCTTGAAAACCTAATGTTGGGCAGGTAAATTCAAAGAAAGGGCTCTAATGGGAAAATAAGATTCATTTTTGGTCTGCTGCACAAGGTACCTGCATCATTAATCTATTGCTTCAGCAAACATCCCCTTGTGTCACTACTCAGTCCTTTTGTGTGGAGGACAGTACAGGAAAATAGCTGGAATTAACAGGTTCTCCAGTGAGAATACCTAAACTGGCATAGATGTCAGCATGAGCAGACTAATCCATTTTGCTCCCTTCCTGGAGCAGGAGACAAAAAGTAATCATTCAGGTATATCTGTCTTCATGTGATAGTTAATTGTTACCCTCTTTTTCAGAGGGAGTAATTCAACTCATCCTATGCAAAGCATTACAAACTGTGTTCTCCAGACTCTACTTCTTCAATGCGCATTTAAAGGAGAAGGAAGGGGAGGGGGTCAAAACGAATTGTAACAGAACAATTATGAAGGAAATTTGGAAGCGTATCTGGAAACAAGCTTGTAACAGAGCCAATAGCTCATGTTTAAATTATTACATTTCTCCTTTGATCACCTGTTAAAACACACTTCTAATTACCATTTAATTGAGTCCACAGTTTAGCACATTATTAAACACCTGCTTGAGGTTATTAATTTTTACTGCTGATGACATGATCTTCTGTGTTGTAGTGCAGATCTGTGTCATATATTTCCCTCTTTTTACAAGCAATGGAAGAGCACACCTCAAATTCCCAAAGAACAAGAAACAATTGGTTTATCAGCACCACACTGTGATTTCAATTCAGACTTTGCAGAAATGTATAAATACTCAAAAAACCCTAAAAGATTCAAATTTTTCTTATATGCCTTTCACAGGGCTTCTCTACTTAAAAGACATTGTGATTTCTTTCGTCTTATACCTTACCTAGAAGCAAAATTAAGTTATTACTCAGAAGTTTTCAACGGTTGCTTCTAGGGTAACATAACAGATAGAGAAAATACTGACCTCACCTGTCCTTGAAATGGAGAATTTCAGGTTATACCTATGAGAGCAAAAGGAGAGATTGCTAGTGCCACCTCTTGGTGAGAGGGGCACAAAAATCCATTGCCATTTGCATAATCCCAAAGAAAGGCATAATGGCAAAAATAATGTGTGCTTCTAAGAAGTGCTCACCACTCTTCCACTGATCCAGAAAGCACTTGTGAACATCCTTAATTTGAAGTAAGCTGTTTGCCTTATTTAATTCATCGGGTTTCTTGTATTCTTGCAGTTAAGCATGTGCTTAAATGTTTTGTTGGTTGGCGCTGAAACCCAACTCAATGGTGGTGTTAAAGAAGGTAAATCCTATGTAAAGAGATTAACTTCAACTGAAAGTAGAGAGACTTTGGCTCCTAAATTTTCATTAGGTGCTTAAATGTCTTTGAGGTGCTGTGTTCCAAACAGGCTGATATTTGAACCCTCCACCAGTATCTTAACATTAATTCAATAGTGGATGTCAAGTGTTAATTATTAAGACTGTGTCAGGACTCATGATTTGAGAAGAGCTTTTGATAAATGAGTCAACACATGAAACAAAGTTCCAAAGAAGGCTTGAACGTGAAAGACGTTAACGAGGATCAGTTAAGCACTACATCAATATCAAGCAAGTTTGGATGATGTCATTTGTAGTTTACTCTTTTGAAATATCATCTGGAGAGAGCTGGGCACATTTGGCTTGGTGAACTGAATCTATGAGTCAACAACATATAATAAGACAGATCTGACCTTAACAATAGAAAAAGCTTTTAGATTATTTCTGTTGAATTTAAAAAAAAAAAAACTCAGAAAACAAAACACAGGCGAATCTCCTCATTGATGACAACACTAGAAAGCATGTGTGCATTACCAGATGTTCTCTACAAGGCTTCTCCCATAAAATTAAAATGGAATTATTGCCTCTGAGCATTGCAATGGGTGGATAGAAATGAACTGTAAATGTAAGTATCAGTACAAAACAATGACTCTGCCCTCCGTTTTCAAATAATGATGCAGAGAACTCTACATTTTGCCTACATACTTTGCTTAAAAAATACATTGATTAAAATATACAAACTCTGCTAATTAAACAATGGCCATTTCAAGCTTAATTTCTGTAAAAGGAAATATTTAAGTGTAGTAGTAAGGGAAGACATACCAAATACAAGTAAGGAAGCTGTCCTACCTTGTTTTAGAATGGTTTTGTCTACAGGGATACCACACCCATGTGATTTTAGGCTGAGGAATACCATAAACGGTGCATGTTAGCCCTTGTTTGCTGCTCAGTAAATACAGATTGGGATCAGGGAATGATGACACAGCGTTTTCATATATCTGAGGTTTCACTGTAAAGGGTAAAAATTGGAAAAAATTAAAAGCAGCTCATTGCAAATGTATTGCATGATCCTGAAAATACTACATTCCTGCAGGGTGAGTAGTAAGAAAAATCCCAGGAGAACAAATCAAAACAGCAGGACTAAGATGAGTCAGATGAGCAGTTACTAACACATTTAAGTCATCAGGAACAAGTATGTGACCATGGAATACAGCAGCCCTTCTAATGAAAACCAGTGCCCATCCACTGATTCCAGGATGGGTCTATCACTCCATGCGTGGGGCTTGGTTTTGGGTCCATGAAAATCAATGAGAAATGTCATAACTACTTGAGCTGTGCACGATCAAGCATTCATTGAAAATCTGGCATTCACATGTTTAGGAGAAGAGTGGGAACATACTGTAAACTTACCATTTACTGTTAGAGTGACGGTAAGATTCTTAGACAAGTTCCACTGCCGTATGCTCAATATTATAGTGTAGTTTCCAGCATCTTCTTCAGCAACATCCTTGATGATTAATGAATAGTCTTTAACCATGTACCGAGCACACTTTTCAGCAGCAGGTAGCCCATCTTTTAACCTGTTAATAGAGTTCCAGAAAGCAACATTTTGACAAACAGTGCTGCTTAAACAGCCTGTTTTACTCCATTTCATGACATTTCTCAATCTTTGGTCGAGGATCAAGTTTATGGTCTGAGATTCTGTTTACCAGAAGATTATCCTTCACTTACAGATAAGATGATTGCTAATATTTATAAAGTACTTCGAAGAATACTATTCTATACGTTAACATTGATAGGGATCTGATAGTGTAGTGAACTCTCTAGTGTTTGAGAGTTAATCAAAATTGCAGCTCTGTCTCTGAAGATTTCAGTTTGCCATGTTTGTGTCTCCATTTAGTCTACAAGATAAACATTCTGGGTAAAAGTCGTTCGTGCAAATAAAGTTTGCATCATCTAATAGTAACTGTTTCTTCTTTATGACTTCAGACTACATCCCAGGACAAAGTATTATAGTAGCCTAAGCACAGCTGTGATTTTAGGAAGAGGAAGAGTAAGTAGATTAGATAAACATTTAAGAATCAGATATCCTGCTATCAAGTGGATGTTTTTAAAGATAACAGAAAATCAACGCAGAAAGTACTAGGTGTTGCTCACACACAGATTCCTGAATAAGCAGATTTTTTTTTCGATGTCTAAAATACGGCATGAAGCACATTTCAATAGCTTGCTATATGAAGACTGGCATGGTATCAGTAGAAGAGTGCAATAGAGTTTCAATATGATAATAGACTTAATTAAATTGATTCCTTGTTTTAGTAAATATTTGCAAGAAAGTCTTACAGTCCTTACAAAAGCACTGAAAATTTGGTCTAAGGACTATGGACAGTGTTACCCTGTATCTGCATTTCAAGAATCACAGAATGGTTGGGGTTGGAAGGTACCTCTGGAGATCATCTGGTTCAACCACCTGCTCAAAGTAGGATCACCTAGAGCAGGTTACTCAGGGCTGTGTCAAGTCAGACTTTGAATATCTCCAAGGATGGAGACTCTCTACAACCTCTCTAGGCAACCTGTTCTGGTGTTTGACCATCCTCACAGTAAAAAACAGAATACCAAACCATAACAAAACAAAAAACCCTTATGTATAGTTGGAATTTTCTGCATTTCAGAAGTTTTGGAGCTGTATGAGTAGTCAAGAAGCCCAAACATTAACGGAATGGAAAATACTGTATGAATGGTGAATATCAGCTCCACTTTCTCCGTCTAATTTTCCATGTGGAGCTGTAAATGCAAAGGAGAGAGTAAAACAAAACAAAATGTTTGGAGCAAAAATAAATTCTGTCTGGGAGTAATGTGAACTCTAGCTGTTCATGTGTGTTTGGTTTGTTTTCTTAATCAGTCTTGTCACACACCCTTTGTTAAAGTGCAATGAATTGAGCAAGAACTATTGCTATTTAAAATGATTTAAACAACAAAAAAGCCTTGAGATCATGAATAGATAACATTGTTTTATATAAAGGTGCTTGAGCTAATACAAAAAACTGTTTAAAAGTTTCCTTAATGTAGTATTTGAGCCAAAGTGAAAGCTCCAGTCCCTCAAATCCGTGGATCGCCATATAATAAAGCCAGCTTCCATTGCTTTTGTAGAAGTACACAGCTGTATGGTTCAACTCTGTCACTTTAAGGAAAGCTTTCTTTTCTCTCACTGTCTAAAATATAAGTTCAGGTCTCATATATGAGTCTGAGTGAACCTGAGTGCATCACTTCAGAGCAGTAGATTTAACTGAATGGTGTCCATTGATTGCAATAGGAAACAGGTATCTAACGTATTTGAGGATCGGAGTTTTAAACAATCTGGGCTTCCTCTTTCCTTTTGCAAAATGGAAATAATATTTTCATAAATTATTAAAATTCAGGAAGACCCTGAAAGGTCCAGTAAAACTGTACAATATTAATGCCAGTTGGTGTCAGTTGAGGGATCTCATTTGAGTATTTTACCAAGGTATTATTTTTCTTCTAAGAAGAGGCCCTGTGTGGAATTATATGTGGAAGTAACTGTTATCCTACCATAAAACCTCTGGTGAGGGAAATGCCTTCACTTTCACCGACAAACGATAGGATTTTCTTCCAGCTACAGCCTCCAGCGCAGTTTTTCTTCGATGTTTCAAATTAATGAACATTTTATCTTAAAGAAACGGAAAAAAAAAGAGAGCGTACCTATATTACTGATTTTCAGCCTGCAAAAAGAGTTGCTATACTAAAAGAACAGGCATGTAAGTAAAAATGGTCTTTAACAATGTTGGTGGTCACACAACACCAAGAATAAAACCAAAATTCTTAGAGATCTGTAAAATGTAGAAGTTTACCACAAGTAAACAGGAAATTAAGATACAGCTCCCAGGCCATGGACCTGCCTGCAGAAGGTACACTCTAGCCAAATGCACAGTTTGTTTCAGTCCAAAAAAAAAGCACTGGTTTCAACACAAGTGCATCTACTTGAGATAAGCTGGTCCATAGTGCAGGAGAAGCTGAACTAGAGGAACAGATGACCCCTTCACCCTTAAAAGGCAAGAATCAATGAACATTTCAAAATAAAATATTCTGCTAGAGAGGATTTGAGTGATCTTCAGAGAGCCAGCGAAGGGAAGGACAGAAACTTTCTTTATCATTGATGAACAGCTGTTTCATCAAACAGACAAATCTTCATCACTTCACTGGAACAATCTCAGCCTGCTGGAATTTATGCTTTTCCAGTTGGACTGCCCCATAAACTTGCTGGCAAGTTGTCTGGTTTCATTAGAGGCAATACAACGCAATATTTTTATAATACATTGGCAAAACTTTTTTCCCAAAAAGCACTTACACAAAGTAAAAATATTCAAAATTTGTTTGAGTGTCCTTTGGTAGTACCCACTGTGCAATATTTAATCATATTATGGACTGTACATAGATTTTTGATATCCATCAAATAAGTGCAATATTTAGTTGCATTTACAGCATACATTGAAACTAACATGCACAAGATAACTCAGCAGTTGAATTCCAAGTCAGTTAAACCTAAAGATACAATCTCACTCTTACTAATATGGATATCCCATAGGCTAATGTATCCGTGAGAATAAGGGTTTATTCATTACTTTCAACAGTTCCAGCTTCTTTGATTTTAAATTTAATTATAAAATCAAGTTCTGATGGCTTCAGGCTTTATTTATTTGAGAATGTAAGAAGTGGATATCATGATTCATCCTGTGCTCTGAGTGACTTACTTAGACTAAGATTAAAATAGAGAAAATGAACGGAAAGACTCCCAGTGAGTACTGTCATCTGGTGCTTAGTGCACACTTCAAGATGGGAGAAAGAAGGTAGGCTTCACCAAACACCTGGAAAAAAAATCAAGATTCTGACCACGGGTCATCCATCGTAGGGGAAACCTACCACCTGCTTTTTACCATTAATACCAATGAAGCTCCAAGGATCCTGGGTCATCCTAATTGCAGCAGAATGCCACGAAGAATGTAGCTTCTCATGGAGTCCCAATGCACATAAGCTTGAAATCATACCAGGAATCTCCAGATCTTATGGACTTCCGGATCCAGAAGCCCAAGCAGCCCAAGCAGACCACAGAGAACTAACTAGTTTAAGTCTCCCACTGTAAAACCACATTACTGGGTTGCACTATCTTGTGCTTGTTTCAGTTTTTGAATAGTCTAGCGGGTATGCGCTCTGTGTAGAGTACGTGTATCTATTTCTTCATGTTTCACACTGAACAGTAATGAACAAACAATGGGAAAGTTCATTCATTTGTTCCTCGAAACGTTTGTTCGCTCAAACTAAGAAACAAGGGATGAATACTGCAGAAGAGAAACTGGAATTCTTCTATTTAAATTAAGCTTGTATATTTTTATTTGGAAACTATGGTTTAACTTACTGCTACTGTCAGAACTGACTTGAGTACAGGGTCATCACAGTACTTAGCAGACAAAAGTGATCTAACTGTTCATTAGCAAGTCTACTGCCAACAAGAAAAAGCAATCCTAGAACAAAAGACGCATATTCTCTGTGGTCTCCCACCTTTTTGTACCCAAGACTACTATGCTATAAATTCACATGCACTCTGTGTCAAGATTTAAAGATATTGTATGACTGAATTTCACATGTGAGCATTCAATATTCTACAAATACACAATATTTCTTACCATAAACAAGGACTGTTGTGTTAACAGATTTGATTGATGGCCCACTCTTCACATGGCAGGTATACTGGCCTTTATCAATGTCACGCACTCTGTCAACAATGAGAATACTGTAAAAAATATTGGCTTCTGTATTCTTCTGGTCAATACGCTGGGTTATAGAACCTCTCTTCCTTGCCTTTAAAAACAAAAACAAACAAGAAAGACTTCAGTCAAATCAATTATAATGATCATTAAGATTTTCCTTTTACTCTACTGCCTCCAACCCTTAAAAAAATCCAGATCCCATTGTAAGTGCATACATGCAAAAGATGTCTAACATCTCCAAAGGGTCAAAAATAAAAATTAGAAGTAATGTTCTATATGGCAATTCACTCTTATTTTCATTCAAGTTGCAATAACATCCAAACTAGTTCTTCCCACATGAAGATCATCCCTTCTGTATGGTCTGTCATACCAACACGCTCAGCCGCCCCGTTCCTCCAGTTCCAGCATTGCTTAAAAAACCCCAGAGCCAATGTGTCTAGAGAAACACATAGTTTGGGGCCTGGATTCAGTGTCCGTAGGCAGCAGACGTGTAGAAGATGAGGGCATTAACACAAGAAGGGGAGAATTCTGGAAACGCTATTGACGGAAAAGTGACTAGATTTGGCAAGAGAATAACAGGGTGGAACTGAAGATAATGTGAGTCTGAGGAGTTATTTCCTGCAACTCCCCCTCAGCCTTTGGCCTCAAAGTTTATTTAACCCAGGACACTGTTGTTGTGTTATAAACACTGAGCACCCGTCAGTTGCCATCCAAATAAAAACAAAGTAGAATTTCACAAGTGTGGTGATAAGCTAGGGCTTGGTAAGGCAATAATAACCAAAAATAATATATTTGGAGAATTTATTGTTGCTAAGTTGTTTGTTTCTGAGGTGAAAAAAGTCCCAGGGAAAATGGCTACAGTATACAAGAAGTGATTGCATTAATCTTTCCTATATAATGTAATCATAATTTCAGCTTGTGATTAGGCACAATGAGTGACATAATAAATGATCTCAACTTGAATCACCAGCATAAATCAAACTGACATGAAAGGAATGGGAGTTGTAAATCCTAAACTAATGTCAAATTTCTTATCGGCTTTACACGGACTCCCTGGCAGTTATTCTATAAGCGACAAATATTTATGAGGATGCTCTCAATGTGGGGGGAGGAGAAGCACATTCGAGATCATTCCTGTAGTTGTCAAAACAAGAGAATTGTTCATGTGACACTTAACAAATGAGATTTTGGCTAGCTAAATCAAAATATCTTTTCTAAACATGCTTGAGTCAGGTGCCTGACTGTCTGCCAGTCTTTCAAATGAATGTGCTGAGAAAGACAGCTTCACTGAAAACTTTTTTGTCATAAGAGAGAGCTCCTGCCTGGGCCCGGGTGATAAATTTCCTATTGTTTCACCAGGTCGCAAAGAAGCTCCTAAGGATGAATCAAGTCTAATGTTCAGTCGTGATTATGCAGTATACCAGAATACATTGTGTAAATGTGTTTACTTGTTCAGTTAAGCACACCAAAAAAAAAAAAAAAAGAAGACATAAAAAGATATGTCAGCAAGGGTCACAACAGTGGAATGCAAACCATGGCAAGCATTTAGAGGAAAAATTCCTCCTGGGATGGTCGATACAGCATAATGGACAGGAAAACCCCCATGATTTCTTCATTTCAACCCCAGCACTCACCTCCCCGGGATAGCTCCACGTCATCTGCACTCTCGTGTTCCAGGCTGCAGTGACAGTGCAATTAATTGCCAGGCTGTCTCCTTTGAGCAACTTGACTAGACGCGGGGTGCTTAACTGGACATCAAAAATTGTGTTGGCTGCATGGCATGAAGAGAAATTAAAATGAGTAACTTTACAGCAACAAAGTACTTTCAGGTAGACACTGACTGGTGAATGCTACTCACTTTCTCGGTGAGTTAGATACTTCGTGCTATACTTGTGTCCACCAAGAGTTGTCTCACAGCTCAGGAGCCCTATGAATTTGTACGTTGCCTTAGGTATCCTGAAACCTTTCATGTTGTCCCAGATTATTGTCTTGCCATCAGGAATTAGGGTTTCTGGTGGAATCTGAAATTGCAAATATATATTACAAAAATAACTTATCTTCATGCCACTCTCTAATCAAAACAGCCTAATAAAAAGGAACAAAAAAAATACAAAAAATGCCAATCAAAGTAGAAAGGATGACATTTAATTATGCAGATTTTTCAAGTCACGTTTTATCACAAAATAGAAGAAAAATTTGGATGAAGAATGTGAATGTTTTATTTATTTCCAAGATTTCATTATTTATAACAGGATGTAATTTATGACACAATAGATTGACACTATCATTAGTCTCAGTGCTTAGGCTGCTATTCCACTGGCTCCCAGCTGGCAGCTAAAATGCTCGTCTCAGAGGACCTTTGCAATTAAGTATCCTGGTGTTACCACTGAGACACAAATACACATTTTCCAATGGAGGTGACAAATGGACTTGATTTGCTGTCTTTCTGTGTCTTTATCAGTTCCTGCCTAAACTCAGTTTGATGCTTCTCATGTTTATGTTGTCTAAAGAACTAGACTGTTTAAAAAAAAAAAAAGGAAAGGACATGAACACTTGTTCTAAAGCCGACAGATCACAGTGCATACATATCTTAAAGTCATTACATTTGATGTGAAACACAAATTTTTAGTCCACAAAGCTTCCTTGGGCACTTTTATTGAGAACTACATATCAACCTGAATGAAGAAAGTTACACCGACTAGAGATTTTGAAAAGATGCTTGAAACACTCTATATACACCACATTTCCAGAGGAAAAGTATTCAGCATGTTTTAAAATTTTGGCACTTCTGGGTCCCTCTGAAGTTGAGGACCCAACCAGTAACCAGTGCAAAGCTGTCAGATGTTTTTAAAACTTAAGACCTGAAATCCAACACAGATTAACATATTGCTTTGTGAGATCAAGCATTCCACTTTGTCAACAGTACAAGTGATATTTTACTTAAGCATCCTTTGGGTTTTAAGCCAATTTTAATGATATATTAAAAAGCCTGAAAAGGCAAAGTATGACATATGCTTTGATGTTCAGGTAAGACCTCTTGTTTTCACATCAGTCCTCTTTTGTTCTTATGCAGCCTTATTAATGTAACAAATGCCACCATTTGGATAGCATGGAGATCAGCAAAAGGCCACGAATATGAAGCCTGGCTGTGACTCTGCTTTTGTAAAAATTTTTTATAGTGAAAGCAGCATATTTTTTAAGACTGTGTATAGCAGAGCTTGGGTGAATTAGTGCCCTAAGCAAAGCACGTTTGTATGCACTCCCACACCTGGGCCAGCTAAACCTCTTGCACCTCATCACCCCTTTCTCTCTGTGCTCCCAGCCCTGCTACATTCCCTTCATCTCTTTCTTCTCCTTTCTTGTAGCAGAGAGCTTGTATGCTGGCCAACCCTCTCTTTCCTACCGGCAAGCCATTACGAGCAGTTGCCAGTGCCTGGGAAGACTGCCCAGCACCTTCCTGCATGGCACGCCTTCTCTCCAAAACGCGGCACCCTGGACTCTGCCTGTGCCACGCACGCTGAGGACTGCCCTTGAGATCACCTCCACTCATCTCACACCATTTCCTCCGACAGAAACGCATGATGAATCAAATGAACAATAATTACAGTGAGCACAAAAGTGTTGCAGAATTCCTTATCTTTACAACAGCTGATAAGAAGCTATAATAAGCATGCAAATCACAGGGGAGGTGTGTGTTTCACACACAAGTAAAGTCCATTACATTATAGCTGGCTGGCTGGCTACCATTCAACCATATCTTGCGCTTTAAGAGCTCTATTGCCATTCCTGTTTCCAAATAAAGCAAATATCTGAGCTTTGTTTAGCCAGTTCGTAGTTATGCTTTCAAGACTTTCAGCTGGATTTGTCTTCTGCTGTTTTGGTGAAAACCAAACTATTTCAGTAGAGGTTGAAAACATCTACGGGTTTTCATATGCACCACAAAGAGAAAGTCAAGTCAGAGCCTCCACAGACTGACGTTTCCAGGGAAGGCACTCACTTCACATTAATTAGTTAATCAATCAATTAATGAATTTGTATTAGCCTCACCTCAGAAATGGGAAAGTAACCAGAGCAACCAAGAAGTGTCTGGATCTTGGAAATACAGTGCTTACAAAGATTATCTCATTTTGCGGCATTGAAATATAGTCAGTTGTTTGTACATCCAAAAGGCCCATCTGCCCTGGAGGCAAATCCTTAGATGCACAGTTTACCCACCTGACACCGCTGAAAACAGAGATGTGAATGATGATGCACAAAAAAGCAGAAATAGACACATTTTGGTTACTGTTAAGGAAAACTTTAGAAAACTGAAGACTATGACTAGCAAAAGATACCCTGTGACATCTGGTTACATCAGTGGAAGAAAGACCAAGATACCGCAACAAGCCCCTTCAGAGGGTAGAAATATCAGGATTTTCTCACAGAAGAGAGCAAGTGCAACAGCTTGCTCTCACCCCTATAGCCCTTCACAGCTCTACCCTCCCCTCCTTAATTGACTTTTCTTCTTATCTGGCCCTCTGCCATGCTGCTGTCCTCTGCCAGCTCCACTGATTCAGGTGGCCTGTCTCCCACTCTTGGAGAAGCACAGTTTCTTTGCTCTGCCCTAAACAGAGAGACCCTGGCTTCAGGCCACCCCAGAGCATGGAGTTGTTATTATGATGATTGCTGTGTGGATGGTATAGATCAGAGGATCCCCGAATCAGACAGTAATTTAGGCTGGAAGGGATCTCCAGAGGTCCTCTGGCCCAGCCACTCACTCAAACAGGGTCAACATAGTTCAGGTCATTCAGGCTCCTGTCAAAAACTTGGCCACTTGGGCATCACAAAGAGAAGTAAAAAACCTATAAAAGAACACTGTACTGAAACAGGTTGATTTCCACCAAAACAGCAGAGGATAAATCCAGCTGAAACAACAGATTACCTATAGGTACCAGCACATGCTCAAGGCATTCAAAGAAGGTATTTGTTGTGATGGCTGCAGTAAACAAGGAATTTGCTCTCTACATACTTATCTGCATGAGCCACATCACTGTGGCACCCAACTGAGTCTTGGCCTTTTACCTTATTTGCACTTTGTTTCAAATTAGACTTCAGTTTCTTTTGGTATAGGCTGTGCCTCCTCCTTTGCTCAGCACCAACCAACTGAACCTTTTTGGTACCAAGTGGCATTAACACAGTACTATCACAAGGTTTTGGGTATATACGTATGGTCAAGAGTACACAGTCAAGGTAGGGTTCCCCACGTCTCCAAAGGCAGATTATATTGGAAAGAGCTAGCTGAAAATATAGTAAAAATGTGCATTAGAGTTTTGTATGCTCATCTTTTCTTATATTTCTCCCCTTCCACCAATTTGGGAAGGATGATGAAGCATTATTAAGAATTCAGACAGTTCAGGTGTGTAACCCTCTCAACATCCCTGAGTTTTTTTCTTTTTAGTCCCTTTATTTTATACTGAAACTTATTTGCTTCTATTCCTATAAAGGTCATTGCTGAATTTTGGCACAGAATCCAAAAGAAGATCAAATAAAGGGATCAAACCATCGTACCAAAAAAAAGATGATGATTTCTCAATTGGGCAAGACAGAAGCAAATGAAGAAGCAAGGGAAGTGCATACTTTAGTTGTAATAAAGTTTATCTTCTCTTAAGGATCTTGAATAAAGCTGCCAAAACAATATTGATGAGGATGACAGTTTTAGGAACTCCGGATATTTATCTATTAAGCAATAGATCAAAACTATCAATTAATTTCACAGGCCATCAAATGATGAGTAAGTGCACTGCACCAACTGCTGCAGAAATAGGTTATATTTGGACCTGAAGGTTGGAGTTGAAATGGGAATGAAAATCTCCATCCCTGTTTTCAGTTCCCTGTTTTATTAGCCTCTTGATTTTTAAGGCTCCTCCTATGCTGTGCGTAGATTGACATTCTATATAGCGCAATTTGTACAGATATTCAGCCAGAGCAACACAACATCACAGAAGGATCGACTAAAGTAAAGATACAGTTTTAGTAATAAAATCATTTGTGGATAATAAACCTTCCTGATACTGGTCTACTAAAACTAAAAAGTGGCACTACATAGAAACAAAATGCTGTAGGCGATGTTCACATGACTTCACCAATGAGTTCTTTCAGAAGGGAGAGGTTACAGAAATTATTCCATATTTTGACTTCCTGGCAATACAGAAAGCAGAGTCTAATGACTCTAATGCTGGGGGTGGTTTTCCAGCTCCAGGGGATTGCATTATGGGGACACTGACTTCTTCCCTTATTGCTAAATGGAAAACACACGATAGTTCTTTGCCAGCTCTCCAGAAGTAGTTTGCCTGCAGCTGTGAAATGCATTTAACACGTCTCTTAATTGCTCTGTGAGCAAAAAATTGCTGGAATCTTCGTACATAGGTGTCACAGCTTGATAAATAAAGTAAGCTATTATGCAACGCATTGTAGTTTACATAATTCAGGAAATTCTAGGATGGATTAGGGAACACATTTATTTTTCCTGGAATGCAAAACATATAAGCAGCCAAACTTTTCTGTTAAGCCTTTACTTCACCTCCTCTTTCTCCTTCCCAAAGTATTACATCTGGTTTTGATGGCATAAAGGCACATGCATCTTACACCACAACCCCAAGCTAAAGGCAGGCTCATATAAAACAAGAGAGTAGACGTGCCTCAATTTCCTCCAAATAAGGAGAAGAAATTAATTTTTTATAATGTTTATTAAGAGTGAAATCTGATAGGAATTTTCTCAGTTAGCAATTCAATATGCTGAGATTTCAGAGGCATTTCAGAGACTTTTAACACTGCAATGCCCAAATAAGATCCTACTTTACAATGTAGACCATATAAAGAGCCAAACATCATTTACTTTTGATGCTACAGTCGCACAGTCTTGTGCAAAATATCCACCTCTGGTCCATATCTTGCTGGAGAGGGGTGTGTGTGTATTTGTATGTGTACATATATATAAACATCCTAGATTTGGTCCATATCTTGCTGGAGAGGGGTGTATATAAACATCCTAGATCAGAATACTTTCTCTTCTGTGCATTTAGGCTTCATTCATGTGATTTAACAGTTGGAAACCAAGAGGCAAAATTGGTACCAATATTAGCAAAGCAGGACTGTTTAAAATTTGTAAACCTCCAAATCAAGTTAAAACACAGGACCAAGTCTCTGGTTGGTGTATATTTCGCCAGTTACAGAAGAATCAAAGGCTTCCATTGATCTGGGTAAGCATCTTACAGTGGTATTGCTTCTCTGCTGCATGTCATTCTATAGAAAGACAAATTTCTTTTTCTAGTAACGATGCTGAACACTTATGCCATTATGTGCAGAACTCATTTTGTTTAGAAACAAAACATCACTGGCACTTCCACCTAATTTTTAAACCAAACAAAAGGAACTTTAAGAAAGAAGTACAATTCTCCATCTTTATACCCAGCACTTTATTACATACATATAGGTCAGTTAGATTCCTTGAGAGTTATTTATACAAGAAGGGAGGAAATGGTTTCCCACATGAAAAATGTCTAGATTTTCTAAAACTGCCCCACACCCTTAAACTGTGCACTATCTTCTCTACAAAGACAAGCCACCCCAGTCTGATGATAAATGCACTCATATGGAAAAGGAAGTAGCAAAGTTGCTAGAGGGACTGAGGTAGGATAAAGGCTTGAAAAAATGCCTTATACCACCCCAGCAGGTCTCCAGGCCCTGCACTTTCTTACTTCTAAAGAACAGGAGATGAGGAAAGGGAAGGAAGGGCAGGAAAAAAGCTGGGAGTGCATCTTTTTTCCTAAAAAAAAGTCCCTTTCTGCGCTTAAAAATCCTTTCTCAGCAAAACTTTATTGCAATGGTATGAAATGTTTAAGGTGCTTCAGAAAATTCCCATCCAGTGCAGGAGATTTCAGGAAGCTCTTTTCTCAGATATGAGACCAAGCCCCCACAGTTGCAATACTTCTAATCACACTGACACCTAGGATTTATATTTAAAAAATGCTTAATTGTTGAAATATTTCAAAACCATTAAAATAGTGTTGCAAACAAAAAAAAGTATGCAACATCCATACATAACAATAACCCTTTCAGAGTATGCTTGGATTAAGGTACCTTTTTTAAAGTAACAGCAATGTTTGGTGCTGTGACTCTGCATGGAATGATCATTTCTCTTCCCACGGTCATGTGTATTATTTTAGGTATGTCACTGTGCATCTCTACAAAAGGACTGGCTGTATCTGCAGAGGAAGGACAAAAGGAAAAGGTTAATATCTGAAATGTTAAGACAGTATATGGAAAATGTAACCATGAATGCATCCTAGAAGGAAGGAACTGATTCACTCCATCCATAATGATAGTTAGAGAGTCCTCGTATTACTCTTCTATTTACTTTTATCTAAACAAGTTCAGTACAAAATTATGGAGTGTTTAAAAATATATTTGTGACTTGTTTATTATCAATAGCAGTTCTTTGATATCTCCTTCAAGATATAGGGGAGTTAAAGTACATTTTTCCCATTACAGCATCATTTCTACTGCTGGGAGTAAAGCAGTTTCTTGTTACAGGGCTTTTCTATTTTATTATCACCAGGAGAAGCAATTAGATGGGATGTGAGCTGAAATTCACTGATCAAGAAACCCCTTACATGGACATATCCCTGCTCCCTGCAAGGAAAACAATGGAAAAATTCATCTTAACTTCACCAGGAGAAGTGTTCTACCATGATTATTCAGTCACATAGTCAACTACTTACTCTCAGAATACAGACTAGCAGGAGTTAATCATTGCTCTCCTTCCCACTACCACAATACCTGCATGTCTCTTTTGTAAGTAACAAGGTAAATGAAAATGCCAGGAAAACATTTATTTCGTTCAACTCAGTAACTAAAGCTTGGCAGAGTAATTTACTGTCCCTTGAACAATCCCTTTAACAAAGGGCATTGTCATAAATAGCTTGCACTGGGAACAGGGAACATTGCTGCTGCTATTGTTTGTACCAGTTAACAAAGAGGGGCTCAAGCCACTAACTGACTCCAAATCTTCTTTGCAGGTGTTCAGATCTGAAAAGTTTAGTTTGAGTCACGGTGCAGACAGGCTACCTCAAAATTCACATAAGAGTTTGGCTTTTCAACTCTGAAAAAAAAGGAGAACATTTAGATTTTAATTCCATACTTATCTTCAGCTCCAGTGTTTTTTCAGGCAAATCCTATTATTTTCACTCAGTCAAAATCTTAAAAATAACAATGGGAATCTTTCTCAGAAAAGAAATGAGTAAAGCTAACAAGAACTAACCCTTTATACAAAATTAAATTGTAGTACTTTACTGAAATTTTCTGGTCTCAGACTTCTGCATATCTGATCTATTTTGGCTGAAGCAGTTCTTTAAATACATTGCTTTTGTTTCTCTTTCAAAAGTAGGAGCTGCACTTCCCAGTGTCATAAAACTATTCTGCCCTTAAGATCTTCTTTACTTCTTACATGCAAAAATATTTTTTATTTGAGATATTAAATAGAAAGAGAAGCAAATTCAACTCTAATTTATACTGAGGTTTGATGCAATTGTTACACAAAGTTTCTGAAATGAAAGACTATCACAATGCTTTATTTAATAATAGGTGTTAAATGTTCACTGAGATCGCAAAAGGAACTTATGAGTAATAGAGGATGCATATGTAATAAAAAATACCCTAAGGACTTGTTAGTCTAACATTTCCTTTGCAATATGATTCAAGGGAAGACCAAGAATGAACCTGTTTGTAGCATGGCGAAAAGAACCTTTTTTGTTTTTCAGGGACTGCAGCCATGGAAGAGGTCACCTGCCCTTTAACACCACCAGACAAACGGATTTACTACTCCCCAAAGACTCATTCATCCTTGTCACAAAATTAAGAGCTCTTGCCCAAAACCAGCAAGCTTTGCAAAGTAGTTTCCTGTATCATAATCTCCAGATCATTACAAGTGTGAGGAAGAGCTGCTCTGGAGATTACCGGTGCGGTCTGCAGACACAGTGTCACCACTGCCCAATGCCAATACTGAGCCGGTGGGGGTTGTGCAGCCCACATCTTACAGGATTCCTGCCCATCCGAAGGCAGGGACAGGAAATGAGCACAAAACGCCCCTTTTTTTTTTTTTTTCTTCACTGGAAATGTGTGTTCACGTCTGGAGAAGTCAGTGAAGCGCTGCATAAAAGTCAACCAAACGCCCTGACTCCTCTCGGCAGGTTTCAGCCCTCAGTGGCAGCCTTCCTCAGTGCGCTCCCTCTGCAGCAGTACACCAAGGCACCGGGACATGTTGAGCCGTCTCAGTTGCCCCTGTGATTCGCGTGCAGAATTCCCATTGACATCACTGGGGACTTCCGCCATGGACCGGAGGGCAATCGATGGCTCCAAGTGCTCCAAATGTCTTCCTGCTTTTGATTAAAAGGAATACGCATCATGTTTCCTAGCACAGTTTTGTTTTCATAATGAGTGTGGAGGCTTTTCCTGATTCCCTTTGATTTTATTCTTCTTTCTTCTTAATGGCCATAAGGGGATACACTCATTACTTCAAGACCAGAATTTGGTGCAGGTTCTCCCAGCTTGGAGCAGGCAGAGCCCAGCCCACAATAACACAGGACTCAGGGTAAGCCAAAGATGTGGAGTCATTCTATTCCTCAAATAATAGCAGACCTCAGTTCATTCTTCCTCTTTTCCTCCCATCACGCCCCTATCTACTGCCAGTGGCTGCTGATACGTTTCCCCCCAGTTCCTTCCTGGGTGGAGGTAAATGCCAGCCTTCCTGGCTGAGAGCATGCCCAGAATCTCCTCACCTCCCACTGGCAGTCTTCCGGAATGAAATTTCTCTGCTCTTTTGGCCTTGTTGACTTGTTCAGTTTTATGTTCAGAAAGCTCTAGGCATAAAAGGAACATGATGGTGATCCATACCTTTTAAAGATGATGGTAAGGAACGAGTGAAGTAACAGGCCATTCTGAGAGTATTTGACCAATCTTGAAAACCATGTCAGAGTTGCACATTCAGCTCCATCAGTATTTGGAGTGGAAAATCTAAGTGGTTTGACCTTTTTTTTTGAGTTTTTGTTTTTTAATTCAGAGCTGTCTGCAAGTGTAGGAGATAAAAGATGGATAGCCAGAATATTTGCATATGCTAAAGGTTACTTTAAAAGTCATTTTATTTTATTTTTTTGGTGTGCCTGGAGCTAATGACTATGTGCTAGTTTGACTGTGTTCCTTACAATAGCTCTCACTCACAGTCAACATGAAACCGCAAAGCGCATTCATGAAATCACAAAATCCATGAAGGTCACTTGGTATATTGTAAAAAACATAAATAGCAGCTTTTTATTAAGCTGGTTGGCAGCCAGATACGATCTTGATAAGAGACTTAACACAAGCAGTATTATGTCTTGTATCAGTAACCAGATTTATGGGGCTTGCACAAACAACTAAACTAGCCAACACTGAAATGCCAGATTCAGAAAAGATGATGAGATTCTTTATTTGCACACTCTTGGCTACTGTTTTTGGTTTTGGTTTTTTTTGTTTTTGTTTTAAATAATCTCAGCTATGTAAGTCAGAGTACTCACATAAACATTTGTGAGAAGAAAAGTCTCTGTAGGAAAGTTTGAGTTCCCTGAGATCTCTAGAAGTTTGTCCTCTAAAAGTCCTCCAAAATACCCACTTACGTCTGTTTTATCATGAAGGTTTTGTTGGGCAGAAGAGCCTAAACTGTTTCCTCACGTTCACATAAAACCCCATGTATGTGAACAGGACCAAACTCTATTATGATACATACCTGTAAACCTCACTAAAGTCAATGGGCCAATTGCCAAATTCCCCTTTCCTTTGCACTGATTCACCCTGTCTAAATTTAGTAATCCCGGCTGTATCAGTAGGGTTGTTCAAAATTAATTGAAGTAGAGCCTTGCTCACTGAGAGTGGACTTTATCTCACTTCTACATCTACATCTGTATCTGTCCAAAGTGCTTGTGTAGTACCTGGAGAAAAAAGGGGAATTCTGGCATGGGATTCTGCTAACCTATTTTAGACATCTGTTTTAGAACGAGAAGAATCATGCTTTAGAAAAGTTGCTTATTCAACCTGCTCACAAGTAGATGTCTGTGTTTGTAAGGAAATAAATCCTTTTCTGTATGTTTGGAAGTACAATACAAAATGATTTAAAATGATTTCTGCAAGGGCTTTCCCACCTTTGTCTCTTCTTAGCCTGTAAAATAATACTCTTCTAGTTCAAATGCTTTCTAAACCTTGAGGAAGGACAAGATTTAAGTTAATAAGCACAAAAGTCTGGGAAAAAATAGAAAGGAGGGCAATATTTTATGTCTGGAGCACATTCAAACACAAAGCATTACTAGCATAACTGTATGGCGATTTCTAGATAGGGTTTGCTTGTTTTCCTTCAGGGCAAATAGTACTATACTATCAATCGTGTAAGTCCGTAACACACTTAAAACATGCTTACAATTCTTAAGGAAAAATATTCTTACCCATATTAGCCAGGGAATTCACTCCAGAGCAATTACTATGTTGAGCAAGTTATTTCCAGAAAGGCTAACGGGCATTAGAAGCACTTTTCCAGATATGAGCCTCCTCTTGCCGATTCGTCTTTGAAATGTATTTCTGTCTCAGTGGCAGCGAGAAGCCTTGGTGAGGAAGCAGGACCTCAGTGAGTTTAGTGCGCAGCCTTGGAGACTTCCCCACAGGCTCCGTCTACACAGCATGCTGCAGTGTGCAGTCGGTACACTCAATGACATTACTCATGAGTACAGCAATTACAGGTGATTTATGTCAGCGAATCCTAGAGGGCTCTGGTTTGTAACAGGAACTTCATTAGACACTAAAAATGTGTCCACATACTTGATACAGCTGTAGCATAGTTTAATTTCAACTAGTTTCCTTTTCATAACAGAAGTGCAATCATATTATTGACTCTGACAGTGTTAGCCAAAAATGTACTACTCATATGTTAGTACTGTGCCAAAAGCAAAGATAGAATGAAAAGCATGAGAGAGGAAGAGTTTTTTAGGCCTCAGCAGCTTATTCCATCAGTGTATTATTTCTGAGTAAGAGGAAGAAGAGAAAAAGAACAAGAAAAATCTCCTTTTCTGCTAATTCTCAGGGTGTTTTGTCATTCTACTTTTTTCATTCACTGAATTATTTTGACTTTGAAGTGTCTCATCTTAAAGACAAAGCCTTTCAGGGAACTCTTTTGATGCCCTCCCCGTTCTGTGATAGAATACCTCTCGGGTTATATGGGAGTCAATCTATTCAAGTTAAATGTTAAATCCATGTCAGTTCTGGGGCTGGATCCAGCTGTCTCTCAACAACTGGACCTCCCAAGGAGAATCCACGTGCTCGGCACTCGCAGAAGGCAACTCTAGAGTTTGAAAATGCACTCAAAACCCCAAGTGTTTGGTCATGTCAAAGGCTTATAATCTGAAGTATTCACTAATGATAAAGCCTTTTATTTTGGACTGTCCAACCTGAGACACATCTCAGGACAAATACCCACAATTAGTGGACATATCTGAGATTCCAGGGACTGGTGAACTACAAGTATGGTTCTCAGCACTTCTATTATGATAAGTTACCCCGCTCTGATTCTTCTCACTGTCTTTAATCATCTCAAAGCAAGATACCTAATCTAAGCCTGTTATCTGAAGTCAGTGATGAGAAGAACGTACCTGAAGGTGCCTTTTTCTCTCTGGTAGGCCTTGAAAGAGTATAGATAAGAGTATATACAACTGGCTTAGTCTGGAGAGCTAGTTTTAAGATAGAATATTTTGAATGGTGCTTGACTGGAGTGCCAGTAAATGTGTCACTTTGCAAGGAAGAGCACCCAGATGGTCAGCACATGTGTGCACAAGGAGTGCAAGGAGGGATAGGAAGTGGTACAAATTTGACTGAGGAATGAGCTAATACCCTAAAGCTAGATACAACTTCACATGGAGAAAAATTCTCTATTGCAGTAGAATTGAAACATGATTCTTACGTAGTCTGATGTTATCTTTATCACAAGTAGTAGCAACACTTGAACTTGAGTCAAAGTTCATTTAAATTCCCACAAAGATATAACCTTGATATATAAATGTAATTGAATTTATTGCCTTTTCTCTATTCTACCACGGGAACAGGTGATAAGAGAATAAGAAGAAAGAGCTGATGAGAATAAAGAATGAGGAGAACTGCACATTTTTGAGGAAGAAAGAAAATAAATGAGCTCCAGCAATTGGAAGAGAGTGTCTTGGAGCTACCAGAACAAAGGCAGATAGAAAGACGAGCCTTCAGCACTGTCCCTGGGGAAATCTATGTAGGCTTCAAAATAGCCTGCTGATAATTTGGTGTTTCTTAAATGTCTTTGTTCCATAATGATCTCTTTTTGAGCAGAAAATTCCCCGCATCTTACTCCAATGTACACAGCAAGTATTCATTACAAATCTTTCCATTTAACTACCAAGCTGCAATTGTGTAACAAGACAAAGATCAGAGCAGTTTTCTGTCGGAGACAGTGAAGGAATTGGCAAAGAAGCTTTGCTGCATTTCAGATTTTTCCCATGGCTCATGGTAGAAGTCAAGACATCAGTTTTCTTAGAGCAAAGTCCAAGGCTCTTGAGAGAATTCATTTCCCTCGCTTGATGCCTCAATTCCTGAACTGTGTGTGGCCAAGCGTTCCTGCTGCACACGCGGTCCGCTCGCTCCCCTGTGCAACTCATTAGTGACCTCTCCAGCTGAAAGCAGGGTGGTGTCTTGACTAGCTCCTGCAAGAAATGTCATCAGCCTGCCTGTTCTTGATCACTCGAACACAGGGCTTCAGAAATGCTTTAAGTAATACTGGGGCACGTGAGATTTTCAATCTCCCTTTCATTGCCTTACATCTTATTTCTGTTTATATAAGCTTATCTTCTGACATAGTGTACTTTCATTACCGAACCAAAGAACTTAATGAGTTTATTGTTTTTTATCCAGTCCATGTTCAGTATCATTCCAATTACGGAAATGCATAACATTTTTAAAACAATAAGTGATGACTTCCTGTACAAACAATATCAACTTTCCTGATTTGGATTCTGTATTTGTAAATAGCAACTATTTGTTCTCATTTGCTGCATGAGAAGACATGGGAATCAGGCACCTTGGTGATCCACATGGAGCTGATATGGGAAATTGACTGACACAATGTCCTGCCACAGGAAGCAATACAAAACTAGGAGTGACCCAAATTTTACAAATGTTTATTTCCCAAGCACCCAAAAATCCATTTAAAATAAAGCTAAAATCAAGAAAGATAGTCTTGAAAGAGGATTTTTTTTAATCCTCGTCTCACCCCCGTTTGGGCCAGATGTTTGAATTTCATGCATGTTTTCAGAAACAATGACTTATATTCAGAGATTCAAGTTTTTGTTGTTGGTGTTGATGGTTTGGGGTTTTTTTTGGTTTTTTGGGTGTGTTTGGTTGTTGTTTTTTTTTTCCCAAATGCCAATGCTATACTGATCAGAAGTGCTGAGTAGCGTCCCTTTTTTGTACTCAGAATTTTATTTATTTTCAATTTACTCAGCATTTCTTCATGAAACTGTAAATTTTTGGAAGATCAATACATCTTCCCACACCTTGGGATAATAGAGTGACACTTTGAACAGGCATTGCATGAGCAGTTACCTTGCAGCCTCCCTCATTCTCAGTAGGTTGCCAAACTCACATACATGCTTAGTAGAACACGATCAGCACTTAAGTGCTACAAAATTGACTTTCAACCCAAAGGATTGTCAAATTCAGAAAATTAAGATGCCAAAGATGCCTAAATATGACACAAGATTGTCCCTTCAACATTTTATTGGTTCTTTTTGGCAGGTAAGGAAGAGACTGAAGCTTGATGTAAATCCTATTTTCAAAAGTGATATCAACAATTAGTGTCTGAATGTCCGTGAAAATCAACATAACTAAGACACTTAGGCACTTGCTTTAGCTGATTTTTTTGGGTGGGGGAGGGGTGGTGGTTCACCAAAGACACTACTACTTCTCTGGCTCTCCAACGACACGTTTCTCTTCCATCATGTGAATCCATTGGGCATATAACCCTAATTCATATAACTGATTTAGGTTGTCTTCCAAAGGCAAGAAAGCAGCACACAACTCAGGAAGCAGCGAAGAGTTAGAAAGATCGTGTCTTCCATTTGTAATAATTCAGGATCCAAAAGAATTAATACCTCAAAACAGAAAGAGATGAAGAGAACGTGAAGGAATCTCATATATTGTGAAGTCGTTTTAGCATAGAGGTTCTCAGGCAGGATCACAGCCATTCTTGCTTTTCCCATGTAGTAAATGGAGAGGGCTGTGGGTAGATCACAGCTAGAGATGAGGTCCAAGGTGGGAGGTTCAAGGAAGTGGTTCCACAGTGGGAAACGTGAAAAAGTCATCCAAGAAAATCATAAGTTTTGCTAGGCAGCGGAAATGTTGGCCACTAAATGAATAACCTACTTGCATTATGCTTTCACGGTGCATCTGTAGTTGGATATCCAGTGAATTAGAACAGCAAGGGTCACATAGGTAAATAGCTGGGTGACAAAATGCTCTGTGGTATGTTTCAGATATAAAAAAGCAGGATGAACAGCAACACACAATAACAGGGAATGGTATCTTATTTTCTGTCACCGTAGTGAGAGGTCCACTTTGTTCTGCTTTTTCACAGCACCAGTTCCACACTTCATGTCACCAAATGAAAACAAAGGCTAAATCGCTCTGATGTGAACTCATTAGAAGCAGTAGACACATAACTTGGAAAAATTCCAGTTGCTTATTCTCTCTAATCCAGGCTTCCAAAATCTGTGAATCACCTTACTGTATTCTACTAACTTTTTGTTGCAAAATCAAGAAAGACTAAGGTACAAAATTAAATGCAAAATCTAGAGGGTTTGTAATTTCTTCTTTTATTATTTCATTTGAATTCAATTATTCTGAGAAGTAGCTGATTAATATCCTGGAAGAAAACAGGATCAGCAAACAATCTCTATTATAGCTTAGCAGACCTAATTCCAGCATTTCCTACATATTGCACAATACTGGGTTATTGAACACAATTCTGTACTTAGCTTGGTTCCACTTATTCGAGATTTTTACAATCAAACTGCAGAATACATTTTTGAATGAAACTAACAAGCAAATGTTAATTTTCCACAGGATAAGAAAATTCTGTGATCTGGAAAGAAGCATCAGCATCCTTCAACTGTCTAGAAATCTGCAATCATACAGGGACAATTTAAAGCAGATTCTACCAGGTATACAGTTTTCATCAGTCAGTATTTGATTCTGTAAAACATGACTTCTATAATACCCATTTCACAGATTCACTTCTAGGCTACTTCCTTGTGAAGTTCTAGTTATTCAGATGGACTGGTTGGATTTGATCTTCTTCTTTTCTCATTTTTTTTTATAACAGATAAAACACTAACATTTGTATTTGCAAGCCATGAGAGAGCAGATTTGATACATAGATTGGTAAATTTTCATGAAATTTTACAAAGCTGAAAACATCATTCAGAACCCTGTGTTTCACCATAGCTGTAGTGCATGTTTTACCCGTTTTGCTGTATTGAAATGAAAGTTCCAAGAAGTGTTAAAAAATATAGTCTTACCATTAACAAATACATAGACTGTAGATTCCTTCTTCTTTTTCACAGCACTTGTTGGATATTTGCAGCTATAATTTCCAGTGTCACTTGCTTGAGTTCTGCTCAAGGTCAGACTGCTACAGGACTGCTTCCCATTCCTTCCACAGGCATATTTAATTACTTTCAGCCTTTTGCTATCCTTACTTAGAGTTTCAGGCAAAGACCATGAATGAACCATTTCCCCCCTGCAAATACAGATAAGGAAGCAGAAACAATTATGTTGGTCTGCAATTATATAGCTCCAGTTCCCAAGCTTTCTTTTTTATTATATCAGGCTATTTCTGGGGTTCTCTTTTATCTTATTTTCCAAAAACAACAACAAACAACAAAGAACTATTAAACAATTGCCATTGAAGTTCACTCCCCACCTTTCCCCACAACACAAGGTTTTATTTTTTTCTAATTACAGTTACAAAAAAAGAAAGTGTCAGGTGTATAAACTCCCAGTCAAATTATCATAAGCCAATTCATCTGTTTACCTGCATGTGAGATTTAAAGTCTGGCCTGCTTGAATGACGTGCTGTATGCCATTTATACTCAGTTCAGGAACTTTTAATTTTGATCCTGAACTAGATCCTAGAAAAGCAAAGGAGAAAATCAGTAACAATGGTAAATCAGCTCCCAGCATTTAATCCACTTACGTTCATAGGCTGTTACATTGGAAGGGGAAAGTAAAGGAAAGCAGCACACCCCCCCTTACCATACATACTCTTTCTGTGAGCAAAATCTAGTTGTCCTGACTCTTCCATAAGAATCACTCAGGAAAGAAAGGAGAAATGAAAGCTATGCAGGTTTTGGTCGGTGCCTTTGCTTTCCAATTGTTCCACCGACTGTACCATGAAACAACCTCTAGACTTCATGGCTACACCTCTAACCATGTGAGCGTGGTTCTCCTGGCCCCTCACAGCTTCAGGCACTGCTGGCTGTGCTTCCTTAGCAAACACCACTATGACAACCTCTTGAAGGGGAAGAGCAGAAGTTGGCCCCTCCCATGGCAAGGTCCCTGTTTTGGCTTCTGAGATACTCAAACAATGCCATGGCAAGTTGGAAGTCCATTGGAGAGAGTGAACAGGGAATTGAAGGTCTTCTCGTCTTAACCGAACAGTATAGCACTGTTAACTACAGTTCCTCAGTAGGTGAAAGCTTCTTCAAAGTAAAGTAGTGTCAAAAGGCTGCTGGACAGCTCTACAATAAATTTTGAGAACAGGAACAACTCCAGAGCAGAGTTGAGCAAGCAAGCCTGCAAACACGGCCTCAGTCACAGCCAGAGCCTTCTAGCATGGTGGATAAAACCCTGGGTGCCCAGAGGCTTAATATAATGTGAGGTGGCTTAGGACACTTATAAACATCCAGGCACACTTTTCACAGGCTGTGTAAAGGCAATTTTTAGGAAGTCCATGAGACAACCTTATGAACAGAAGGCAAGAGGATCACAGGATATTCCCTTCCCTTGCATTGAGCCAGCAAGTGCTGGAAATAGTAATAGGCTACAGACACAAAAGCTCTCATGTCAAAGACAGAAATGCATGCTTTACAGAAGAAACAATCCTTGATCCTATTGCCCTCACACTGACAGCAGTGTTCCAGAAGCTAGGAACATAACAAGCAAATATTTTGAAACAGTTAAAGTTGAAAAACACTTTTGGTCTAAATCTGGACGTGAGTGTAATTTGTGAATATTTCAGTAGTAGAAGGGCAGATCTGAGAGTACCCCAGATCACTTTACTCTGAAAGAGTTTGTCATTGTCAATGCATGAAAGAAGCAGCGTCATGTAAACAACTGTGCTGTGTATTTTCCACTCAAACATGGTCAAGTACAATTTCAGTTCAGCTATTTTAGGCCATTCTAAGAGCTCCCTACCACAGCTGAATACAAACAGCTGTATGCATCAAACATAGTAAAAACAAGTGAACCTTATTTGGATGCTGTAAATAACCCACTGGAAAGTCCTATCTCTTTCATTGACTATAGAAGGAATTTTTGGAGGCCAGGATAGGTAACTAAATTTTGACAGTATAAACTCTCCTGAGTCAATGAGCTGCTCCAAACTCAGCAGCTTTCACCTAGCAGTGCACATAGCTTCAGATTAGAGGCTGGATATTAAAAGTTTATTCTGAGATGTGGACTGGAACTCCTTCAATCTGAGAAAGGCCTACAAGTGAATCCTCCACTTTTGGAGAAATACATCTAAGTACAAAGCTTTTATGCAAAAGGTAGGGAGAAAGGAGGCAGTGCCCTCAGCTCTCTCTTTTGTTGTTGTTGTGGTGGTGGTGGTGGTGCTGTGCTCCATTTGCCATTAAATATTTCCTAACAATTCCCTACAAAATAGGTGGAGACAAGAAGCCAAGCAGCCTACCTCACCTTCTGGGAGTAGCCAACACGATCAATACAGAGAAGTAAATACCTAATTAGGTCTCCCAACCTGCTTATTGATGCTTTTTGGCACCCTTTTTTTTCCCTTAACATTATAGGGAGATACAATGTAAAGGTTAATTTTAACTAACTGCCTTTCAGCACCTAAGTTAGTTTCATTTTTCTACTTAGTCCTGTATATTTCTCATTCAAGCCATGGATCTGGAAGTGTTCTTGTATATATAAACTTTCATCCCTATTCAAAAGAACATTTAAAGGATAAACATATACATATACTAAAAACATAGCTCACTTGAACAGGTTTTAAGCAAATGCATAACAAGTTTTCTGAAAAAAAAGGTGCTCTGAACTGTGCCACAAATATTAGTAAAAATTGGAATGGTAATACTTTACAAATATACATACTTTCTCTGTGATTTGTCTAGATAATCACACTCCAAACTGAAATGAACATATTTTTGCTGGCTGTTAAGAGGGGGAGAAAAAGCAGTAAATCTGTGAAGAAGTAATTTGTTATATGGGATCTTGCAAATAGATTTCTCTCACCTACCAACTGAGAATCTAAACCCCGAGATGCTGGGTTTGCCAAACGGTGCATTGTGCCATAATGGGATAGTCTCTCATGGATGCTCACAGTCTATTATTTCAGTTCTGAAATAATATTGCTAAAGCTAAATATTGAGAATTTGAGATAAGCTGTTACAAGAGTTCGGCTCTGCTTCTGTGAAGAGAAATCCAGGCATGCTGGTTGAGAGGGATTGTCGGTGTCCTCAGATTGAACAATCTGACCATTTCATGAAAGTACCATGTTCCTGCATTTCATTCACCTCTCTTATCATCCAAGAACTGGAGGTTCAGATGTTCTCCCAAGCCAAGTTTCTACCTGGCTTTTAAGAAACTTATTTCTTACATAAGGTGAGGAACATGGCTGCAAGCTCCCCTGAACTCTTCCTTTTTTCAGGATCTAGCAAAGCTGAAAGCGCACAATGGTGTTTCTTGACAGTTCAACACGTATGAAAAAAATAGCAGTAGGACCTGCCAGAGGAGCCGATGTGGATCAAAGCCCAGCGGCTACAGCTGGACAGGCAGGTTGCTCAGAGCGTGAATCTGGTGTAGGTGGTGCAATCACAGACAAGGGCCTGGGGAGAGTGCCAGAGCAGCTCCTCAGCACAGAGGGCGATGTGGGGCAGCTGATCTGCAGTGATGGCTCCTGACACGGCCCCCCCAAAACTGCTGCACGCTCTCTGAGGGCTGTGGCCATGAGCTCACGATCAAGGGCGAGGAGGCAGAGGGCAGCACCCAGCAACGCAGCATGCATGGGTGTCTGACCCAGGCCAGGACCAGGAAGGAGACCACCCTGGGAAAGGGGGTTGCTGAGGTTTTTAAAGTCTGCCAAATGTTATGGGCAAGAAAGCATTATAAATGTAGTAAATTTTTGTCTTGGTAGTTCTAAGATCATATAGGCAAATATGTCCATATAAAAATCTCAAGGTCTGTCTTAAAGTAAGGGAACAAATTAAGATAGCCTGGAAATGTGCATGTCAGAACTGCTTTAGTGTTATTAAAATCAAATGAAAAGGAAAAAAAAAGACCTTTTCACTCCATCCTGTAGACGAAAAAGAAGCTCAAATATCTGTCAGGCTTTTGCCCTTTTACACATATTACATATATCTAAAAGACACAGCTGTACTTGTAAATATTGTGGGTGGAATATTGAGCAGTGCTCAGTGTTGATCCAACTTTGCTCTCGTTGTCATAAGCCAGAGTTTTGCCATTGATTTCAAGTACGTTTTAGACACTTAATCCCAGTGGTTAATCATATCAGCTAACATCAGCGCGTTTGGCAGGACACAGCAGATTTGTTGTATAGTCATTAATTGAGTTTTCTACCTACAAAAAGCTGAAGTAAAAAATCCTATTTCTGGCCAGTATTGTGCTTTTTCAAGGATGCAGGACAATGCTTTTACCAGCAAGATGTTAAGTCTGAAGAAAAATAGCTTTATTTGACATCCTATCTTTTCATGGGTCATTAGCTTTCTTACGTTTCTAAATGCTACAAAACTGATGTAGGATACAAATGCAATAGAGTTTGACATGTTTACCAGAAAAGAAAAAGGAGGAGAATAGCAGGAAAATTCCTACTGTCAATATTTAGAAGTGGATTATGCCTTCTGTGTACCTTCTCTGGGCATTCTACTTGACACTGTCTTTTCTGCAGGGTCATAGCTCAACAGGACATGTTCACTTACCATTATGCCTGTCACTAAGCGACCATCAGCAACCTACCCTCATACTGACCTACATTGGGGGGTGCAAACTTCTTTTCATGTGACAAGAGAACTAATTAATCCTGATAACTGAGGAATCTCCTCCCACAGGGAAAGGAGTGATTTTTTTGAATATTCTATTTTTTTTGGAAGGCTCATTAGATACATGTGAAAGTCAGTCAATAGGCTTACTTAATTAACGAGCAAACATCAACTTAGATTGCAAAGGTTAGCCAGTCTGACTAAAATGAGGGAGGGACAAATTATTTTTTAAAGAAGCAGAGGACAGGATCCATGAAATGTTTAATATAGTAAATACCACTGTCATCTGCAAAGGAATAAAAGAATAAACTTTCTTCAATTATCTTCCGCCTGGCCAAAAAGGCAATGATTTTCTTGAGTTGTGAAAATAGAATTTTGAATTATCTGTTAAGCTAGAAGACTGATTACAGGTAATTAAAAAAAAAACAGATAAAACAATTAACATGCATTATTTTTTCCAATATGATATGAGATTTACAGGGCATATTTGCACTCCCAGTTCTACAGACATCTGAGTAACCACATACATGTGAACGTCTTTCCACTTATTTTAGCTAAACCTAGATTTCACCATAAAGGATAGTTTTACTGAACTCATAATTGGGATCATATTCTGGATTATTATCTCCATTCTGTTCTTTATAGTTTCTATTTCTTTACATTTAAGGAAATATGCACTTTATATCTCTGTTACCTTCAAGTAAAGAAAGTCAATCCACAGGCTAGCTCTGTCTCTTATTAAAGAAAACACTAACGATGTTCATAAACTTCCTTGAAATTAATAGGTTTAGTGGCCTTTTATTTTTAACATCTTTATCTTGTTCATAGTTTAAGGCTGAGTGACAATCTGTCAACCACTCCAGTTATCCTGAACATGTTGACTAATCTTTTTCACCTGCACAATGAGAGGTTAAGGAGAACGACCAGTTTATCTTTGCAACTTCAGTGTATACAAAGAATCTGACCTTCTGGGTTTAAAGTACCATCTGTGGGCAATAAAGTTATCCATCACGAAGTAATTGTTTCAGTCATTGTTGAATTTGCACGTGTTTTAAGCCTTGTTAAACATAACTGACCCTCTGTGTTTTCTACCATCAAATATCATTTCCTCCCCATTTAAACACATTCAGCAAAAAATATATTTTGTATAGGACAATCCTAAACTGGAAGGAGAGTGCATGAGTTTTTTATAGGGTCTTCACCTCTCTGTGCTCCCTAAAATGTGGGTCACTCACTTCAAACATGGCCTAGGACTTTACTCTTGCTGATGAACATTTCCTTACGAGTCCTCCTATTTAAGAGAAAAGGAATACCCTCACGAGTGCAACTAATAAGCAAATACAGAATCTAGCCAAAATACTTGGTAGTCATTCAGGGGATCGACCTTCAGTGTGCCTTCAGTGAAAGCAATAAGCTGACCCTGATCTGTAGCACCTTAACTTGAACAAGGCCACCAGCTAACCTAGTAGAGTGCATATTGCCTTACTCCATTTTGTTAGGAAATCTAGGCTATCGGTAGTTTTTTTTTTAATATCAGAGTTCTTCCTGGCAACCATCTTTTCTAAAGAAACTTCAATCCCCTCTGTGGGTAAATATAATTTATTTTTGGTTAAAAACACTTGTATCTATCCACTAAATTATTCTTTTTCCTAGAAAGGAACTTCCTAGAAAGGAACTTCAAAGGAGCTCTGAAGAACCATGTAAACTTTGATTTACATCTGATCACAAGGACAAATATTGACCAACAGGCCCTCTTTAGTTTAATCAACGCTGAAATTCTCAGTCAGTATCAATACTTGCATCTATAAGAGAAAAAAGCTTTTAGGCAGTTGTATCAAAATTTCTAAGCGGTGACTGGAAAAAATTGATTGTTCCTGGCCAAAGGGTGAAAGGCGGACCTGTTCCTGCCATGGGACTAGAGGATGAGGGGTGAAGGGATTATCCTGGATAAAGAAGCTTTTTACTTCTCTGTCTGCTGATGGTGGGCTGGAAAGAGCGGCTAATGGGAGAAGCTCTTCTTCTCTTTCCATGGCAGCAATAGCCATCATCTACTGTTTGTTGCCTGGGTTTCTGGTGCTCAAACAGAGGCAAAGCAGGCAGTATAGTCAGGTCTCTGCACCCAGAGGCCAGTTGCCACAAGCGCTGTCTCCGCTGCCCGTCCCTAGAAACAGCCTCCAGGAAAGATGTGCAATGCCAAGCCATGAGCCATCCTGAGAACCATGAGCCATCCTGAGTCAATGTAAGGCTCCAAACCATACTTGCAGGTTGTTCAGGTGTCTTACAGGCCCCCATACTAAAAAAAACCTCACAGCCCTTAGTACACTTAATTTCACAGCAGTTCTGTGAAGTAGACCTCAATATCTAAAGTCTGCAGAAGAGAAACTAAGACAACACATCTGTGAGGGAGCAAGGAGGCATGCCTCCAACCCAAACTAATGCTCAAAGCCTTCCAGCTGAACAAACTCATGATCTAAAGCAGTAAAATTAACTGCCATTTTGGTCTAAACAGAACTTTGCAGGGGGATAAGGGCCTACAGGGCATTGCAAGGGTTAACAGACATAGGTCCTTGGACTATAAGGTAGCTTTGTCCTTATTTCCTGTTTGCTTTTGTGCAAAGATAGGCACAGTGGGCGCTGATACAGAGCCGACAAACAGAAACACGCTCAGGATAGAAGAAACGGTTCAGGATAGAAGAAACGGTTCAGGCTGTCTCCCTCCTCAATTGAGCTTTCACTTGCACAAGCCTCTATTGTGACTGAAATGTGTTCTCGTTTGCTTGCAAGATCAAGAAAATTCTTAGAAGGTGTTTATTTAGAAAATATACGTTGTCACATAAAAATTGTCATTCACAGATTCGTCCCTTTCAAGTCTAGAAGAGACACCCTGATTTTCTGATCTACTATTCTGCGTAATGCATGCCATAGAGCTCATCCAATGATTTCTGTATTGAATGCTTAACTCTGATGCATCTCAACTACAATTTAAGAATTTAAAGTCCCTTTAGGACATAACAGTCAGCCAAGAAAATGAATGAATTAACGGATGAGAGAGCAGAGCTGCAGTATGATTCTGCACCCTAATAGAGTCTGAAAAGCATAACGTTTATCACTGTAGATTAGAAGAGTCCTGCACAGACTAAAATGCCTTGACCCTGCCTCTGTGTCCTGAAATTAAAAATCAGTCAGCAGGGCAAGTGGTTAAGTTACTGCCCAGGGAAGATCTGCACAGGCACAGGAAGACATATATGCCTATTATTTAAGGATGTCCTTCCCCTCTCGGCTCTGGACT